CACTTGCTATCAGGAACTGAAAATTGTATATTTATAACTTCTATGTGTTGTAAGAAGATATGCATCGCTCATCATAAGACAGGCTCACAGTCACCGAGGCAGCCAGTCCAAGGTCTGCACAGCACAGCCCCAGAGGACTGGTACAAGGCCAGGAAGGGCTGGAGGCACAAGGGTGTCGCAGGAGTCCTCTCCCCAGGAGGCTCAGCCTCTGTGTCCAGCCAGACCTCCCCCGGGTTGGACGGGGCCGTCTGCTGCATTCGGTCTGCAGGTTCAAATGTCAGTCTAAATGCCTGGTAACCAGGGCCCAGCAAGTTGACACATAAAATGAAGCATCATGCTTGGCCCTTGCAAGGTTTAAGGAAAACCAAAATTATCAGCAGCCCTCCATAAATATAAGCCTGTTAGAAAAGCAGTTAGCAGTCAGTAGCATGAGGTGGGCCAGGGGCTCAAGTCCCCAGTCAAGGGCTTTAACTGATGACCAGACCTGGACTAATGTCCTCTGGACACAAGAGGGAAAAGGTGGGGATCTGCAGCTGATGCCAGCCCCTGACTGGGAGAGCAACTCCAAGTGCTCCCGTCTTCTCCCTTCCTAGAGAAACCCACCCCCACACATACCCGGGAGCTGCCAGCTCATGTAAGCTGCATGTAACATACTGGCCTCTTAGCCAGCCAGCTCTCCAGGTGCATGTCATTAGCAAGGTCCCATAGCCTGGGAGGTCCCAGACCCACCCAAGGACAGTGAGCCCCTCTACCAGACAGAGCAGCTAGCCCCCCTGGCCATGCCCAACACCTACAGGACATTCAGCGAAACATCTCAGCCTGCAGACCTAGCTTTTCTTGCCAACACTAATCACCTGGCTTCTTAGGAACACCTGGCAAATGGCCAGGACACACCTGCACACATCTGGGAAGCGTACAGACACAGCATCCTTCTGTCTCCCCAGAGTAGGGCAGAATCTGCTCAGCCCTGTGACACCCCTGAGGTCTCCAGCAAGATGATGCCACGTTCCTTGCTTGGGGCTTCTCAGTCATTTGAAAAATAAATAAATGTATTGGCTTATGGTATTGCCGTGGCCGGGGCTGTTGCTTTGAGGAAGAGGGGGCTGCCACATGGCCTTGGCACCAGAACAGAACCTAGTGTGAAACTCACGCCTGGGTGCAGCCTCTTCCGGGACCTCTCTGCGTAGCAGTGGCCACTGGTCATGCAAGCAAGAGTGACACAGGGCTCTGGTTACAAGCTGCAGAGTGCTCCTCTGGCTGAGCCCTCTGCAGGGGCCCCCAACTGTGTGGGAGAGTCTTTAAACCCAATATGACTCCCCCCGAAGAAGTATGAAGCATCATTTTAGATGTTCACATGTTGCCACAATGTGCCAAAACAACAGGAAATGGTTTTGTTTACTCATTGAACAAAATGAAATCAGTATTCATCATGACACATTTTTTACACAAGGAATCGAAGGTAAATATGTACAGATCACATAAGAAAATATCACAGGACGACTCCCCCAAGATGAGCAAGTAGGAAACCAGTAAAGGATATGACCAGGCAAAACGCAAGGATCTAATTAACAATGTTTCACTCGTCATGAAACGATGATCAACTCCAAAGAAATTAGAGAAGTGAAAATTAAAATGACATTATGATTGTGCCTATCAGATTAACAAAATGAGAAGCATTGTTAATCTCCAGGAGAAACTGGCTTCATCAGGGATACTTTGGGGAGGGCAATTTGGTAATCTCTAATAAAATTTAACATGTGTGCAGTGGACACAGAAGGTCCAGTTTTAGGAGTTACCTGCAGAAACACTGGTGAGATACACAAAGTCACACCCACACAAGGTGCAGAATTGCAAGGAAATGCAAAGAAGTTGGAAACGACTTCTTGGAAAGAGTCCATGCACTCTTGACCCATCTGAATCGTGGAAACCGAGCATCCCTTGCACAGAGCACGGGAGCCCTACCGTGCTGCCGTGGAAACTCCCCAAGACTGATGGGAGAGGCCAGCGCCGACCTGCCCCACAGCGCTTCATCTGTTCTCTCATATGTATCATTGCTATATCGGGATGTGTCTTAAAATGGGTAGCTCTTTACAATTATAATTAGTAACTCCTTTTTCTTCCTTAGTGGTTCATAGAATAACAGCACTTCTTACAATTCATGCGGTTTGGGATGAAATGAGAGTAGTACGTCCATTACTTACCAAACCTGCATATTTATGAATGTAACTGCATAGGAGAAAATTCTGGGAAAGCCACACTCTGCAGTCCTAACTACGATTAACGAAGGGAAAGAGAAAGTGTTGGCTCAATCACACTTATTCTCTATTTTTGTGCTAGTGGGAACATTCTCAACAGACCTCTATCCTGTTTTCGCTTGTAGATAGTAGAAACAGCACTGTGTGCCAGGCAGAGGTGAAGGAAGAGATGTGGGGACACTGAGCACTCTGTCCTCGACGCTGGGTCACCTTGGCTCAGTCCCAGAGCACAGCTGCTCACTCTGTGTCCCCACCCTCTTTCCTTCCTCTCCTTCCCCTTTACCCCAATCCTTCCTTCTCCCACAGACCCCTGGAGATGAAGCATGGGGCAGTGGAGAGCTATGGCCCACTACCGCCTCCCGCAGAGCTCCCTGGGCTGGGGAGGCTGGGGGCTTTTACATCTGGGGAGTGCCCCCCTCTGACACAGCAGGAGGTTCACTCCTGGATAGGTGCATAGGGAGTGGTTCAGGGTCCCACCTAGCCCTCCGGGTGGTGCTTTCCTATCTTTCCAGGTTCTTTGTAAGCAAACAAGCACGTAGCCCCGCTGTGTGCACTCTCTCAACTTGCTGGTGTGCATGTGCACGCAGGGAACTGGTGTGACTATACACACACACTGGCTTTGTGAGTCTGCCATCAGCCCTGGGAGCAGGCTGCTCCCTGCTCAGCACCCAGGAGGCTTGCTCTGCTCCTCCCCAGCTGGACCCTCTGCCACCCAGCAGGAGCCAAGTCAGCATGGGTCAGAACAGAACTCCAGAACTTTCTCTGGGCGCCTCTGTGCCCATAGCACAGCCAGTGCTCAAGGGACACCACCCAGTGTGCAGAGGGTTTTCTCTTCTGGTCCATGCTGTTGTTCAAAATAATATTTGAATTCAATTTAATTACTTACCAATATTTAAAAATTAGAACATTTTTTACATAAAGCTATGGATTTATTCTTAGGATGATGGAGATTAAGTGGTCTGGGCCCACCTCCCCATTGACCCCAAAATGCCAACTTTGGACGTTCCCTTCTGACCTCAGGAGGCCTTGGGGTCTGTGATCTTGATCTCCACCCTCCACAGCAGAGGCAGCTGCTGACGAATAACAGAAACCAGGGTGGGGACCCATTGGCCCTCTGACCTGTCACTTCTGCCCCTGTTCAGCCCATCTCTGTGGAATCCCCGTGTCTGTCACTGCAGCCTGTTCTCCAGGAGGCTGGACCTCAAGTCCCCAGACAAGGCACAGGGTGACCTGGCATGGCCCCAGGGCTCCCTTCCTCTGACCCAGCAGACCCTACAGCCAGTTTAGTCACCACCTTGGAGAAGTGGGGCCAGGTCCTGACCTCTGCGTGGTGCGGAAGTTGGGGGTTTCACCATAGTGATGCCCCAGGAGAGGAGAGCATGTGCACCCGGGAGCAAGGAGGGGGCCTACCACCCTCCTAACTGTCTGGCTGCCTTGGGCCAGAAGGAAAAGGTGGAAAGGCTCTCGGAAATACCTGGAGCCCCAGGCCCTCCGTGGAGCAGCCTCAGCTCTGACCCTCTGTGGCAGGAGGCTCCCTCAGCCTGGACTGGGGGCTGCTCCAAGGCTTGGCAGGGATGCTGGTGCTCTCTGAGCTGCAGGTGACAGCCTCGGGCCAGGCTGCTGAGAGGGAAGCTCTGTGGTGGGAGGCGGGATAGTTTAGGTTGGAAGGGAGGGAGCAGGACGGTCATTCCCCAGCACTCAGCCTGGGAAAACCTGACCAGGAGAAGCCTCTGGCAGGTTGTGGCCTGCAGAACACGTGCAGAAGTCCAGCTGGTTCCTTCCCCTCGTGGATGTGCCTGCTTGCTCCTAGCAGAGTGTGGCCCATGCCTCTGGCCACACAGAGTCCCTCTAAATCCAAAGGAGAGGAGCTAAGAGGGCTTCCTGGAGGAGGAGGCCTCTCAGGTTGTCCTTGGACTGGGACCTTTGATGGAAAACTGGGGAGTGGGGGACAATAAAGCCACCAATGCCCATCAGAATTCAGGCACACAAGGCAGGAGCAAGTGCTAGCAGCCACTAGGTCATGGAGCTGGGTGCAGGGGTGTATGCCTGTCTCTGGTTGAGGACAGTCAGTGTGGCAGGTGTGAAACATGGACAATGAGGGAAGGGAGGTGCCTGGTGGCCAGTCTTCCACATGGTCCTGACATGTCCTTGAGAAATAGGGTGCTGGCAGCTCTGGACGGTGGGTCCTGGTGTGCCTGTCCAGTGAGGTCTGCACCCAGCCCCAGGGCCAGGCTACTTGCCTGTGCCCCGGGACCCTGCCCCAGCCAAGAGGCCTGGACACCGAGCAACAAGGCAGGCTCCAAGGTGTCCTGGCATCCAGCAGCAGCAGCCACCCCCTGCCGTCCCCAGGTCCTCGTCCCTGGGCAGGCACACTGGAGACTCAGAGAAACAGGCGGCTCGGCCAGCGTGAGCCATGTGGGCCCGTGAACTCTCCCTCAAACCTTCCCCAGGGGCCTGGACAAGTGGCATCACCCACTCCTCAGGCCTGGTTCCCTAGTGTCCACAGCAGCACTCAAGTCCCTTGTTCGTTACATTGCCACTTCTCTGTGGACTCCACGGGCAGAGAGTGGAACTGGCCTGCAGACGACCAGTGCCGTCCTGGTGTCGGAGGGTGGCGAGGGGGACACTTTGCCGACTGTCATGGGCAGCGTGCATCCTTCCTTGTGTGGCCTGGGGTCCTGACAGCGCTCTCCTCCCGCCACTCCCAGGCCCTCCAGACCCTGGCACCTCCCAGTCGCTGCTCACCTGGCTGCTGCTGCCCCTGCTGCTGTTCCTCCTCTTGCTCCTCCTCACCGCCTACTTCTTCAGGTAGGAGTGTCCCCGGGCGCTGACTTGCCCCGACCAGCTCGGATGAGGAAATGAGCCTTCTTGAGGCTGCAGGGTGTGGGCCCCGGCCACTGAGATGTGCAGCGGGCCTGGCCCCAGCAGGCTCAGCCATGAGCAGCAGGAAGAGCTTTTCCCGGCTCACCTGGTGGGTATCCCTGTGCCCAGGGCCCCGGGCTCCCTGGCCAGCCTAGGCGCACTGAGGACTGACACATCTTGTGCCTCCCAGGTTCAGAAAGCAGAGGAAAGCCGTGGTCAGCAGCAGTGACAAGAAGATGCCCAACGGGATCCTGGAGGAGCAAGGTACGGGTGCTGGCTCCCCTGCGGGGTCTCTAGCAGGCCTGGGGGTCCCTCTCTTTGTGTTTATCTTTTCCTTTACACAATGAAAGTCGGTCTTAAGTCCCTCCAGCTTTGAGACTCTCGTCCCCTACCTGGTGCTGTGCTGTCCTTTTCTGCCTTACTAACGACTGCGGAACGTCTCTGTTTCTAGACTGTATTGAAGTCGCCTTTCCTCCTGTACAGATGTCTGAGGTGTTCAGTTTGTGGCTTTTCTGGAGAAACTGCTCACATCCTGTCCTTTGCACAGGGTTTGGGCACGTTACGTTTTTCAATAAGGCTTTTCACATCACTCTGATAAGAGTCTCTGGCTCACAATCTAAAGTGCTCAAACTGAAAATCGCACTGTCTTAGGATCTGGCTGAAGAGAAGGAAATCGCTCCCCTAAAGCGGCTTCAGCTCGGTGGAGGGTCAGAGGCTGTTGGGACACTCCCAACCTTTAGATTCAAAGTTCAGTTTCTAACTGGTAAATGCTACTTACCGAGGCTTTTATTTTTTTTTTTTTTCTTTCAACACATTGAGTTGACTGAGAAAGATAAAGCAGAGGCTTTACAAAATACTGGTGCACAGCAGTGACTACGACTTCCTGTCCTCCGCTTCCTACCAACTGTGCTGGGGCTTGAGGAAACACACACACAAAGCAGAGATAAGAGTATCAGCAACAGAAGACCTGGCCAGACAGGGCTTTGGAGGGCCTTCCGGCCCCCCTGACACTTGGTAGATGATAATTTGGTCCCCAGCGCCATCCTCCCACCCTGGATCCCACCCCGCACATTCCAACAGGCTTGGGAGGAAGAGGGAGTGGCTGGTGAGGGGCAGAGAAGCCCAGGGGCACACATGGGAACCTGTTTGTCTCTTGGGGAAGGGACCCTGTGGGGAGATTCAAGGTGACCTCAGAAGACTCTGCCGGTGGGACAGGCCTTTTGCAAGGGTGGCAGTCCAGTTTTCCCATGAACCTTGTCCATATCAGCTCATCCCAGGAGGAGAAGTGCAGGCCCCTGACTTCTTGTATCTCACTCTGAGCTTAGGGAAGCGTCCTGCGCCGTACCCCTTGCAGCTCGCCCTTTTCCTTTGCAGTGCCACACTGCCCTCCCCCTTAGACAAGGACAGCTTCTCTTATTTGGAGCTTATGGATCTGGGGGAGTAGGCCTATTTGTTACAAAGAGGAGAAAGACAAAAGACGTGCATACCCTAGTGGATTTCCAGTCCCCTCAAGCTTGCTACGGACCCCATAATTGCTCTTATCTAGTTCCAAACCTGGAAACCCAAGCTGCAGCATGAAGCTGCTCTGGCCATCTGGGGAGGAGCAGGGCTGGAGGGAAGGACAGGCCATGGGCGGCTAGGGAGTAAGCGGGGTGAGTGGGTGGGAGACACACTGTCCATGATGTCCATGGACAGCAAGATCAGGGATGTTGCCATCGCTAGCAGAGGACTCATATCAGGAGGCAGATGTTTGATTCAGCTGCTCAGGGACCTGGTGAGCCACGGGCTGCATGATTTGGGGGTCTGTTCCCCTCCAGCTGTGCACTTCTTTGGGAATGTTGTCATTGGATCTGGCCAATGAGTCGGCCCTGGGAATGGGGCTAAGTGGCCCCTGTTCCTTCTGACCCACAGAACAGCAGAGAGTGATGCTACTGAGCAGGTCCCCCTCGGGGCCCAAGAAGTACTTTCCCATCCCCCTGGAGCACCTAGAGGAGGAGATCCGCCTGCGCTCAGCAGACGACTTCAAGCGGTTCCGGGAGGAGTTCACGGTGAGTGTGGAGGTCCCTGCTGCTGTCAGGTGGTGGGGAGTGCCCAGGGCCCATCCCCCGAGGACTAGTGACCTGGCAGGGTCAGTCAGAACACAGTCCTGGGGCGGAGGGTCTGGGAACCTGGTCCCTGGGGCAGCTCCCCTCCTTGGCACTCATTGCCCATTATAAGGTGCTATGGTTGGGTCTGGGGCTCAGGAAGCCGTGTTCTGAAATGGGTGAGACAAAAACACCATTATTTCCACACTGTGGCAAACCAGGGCCTGAGCCCACACAGGACAGTGGTTTCACGCTGAAAGCCAGGGAGCGCCCAGCCATCCCATCACAGTTTCTGATTGGAGTGGAGAATGTCCCTCTTCTGAGTCCCCACCCAGCACTGACCAAGCCGTCCTAGAGACTGCCTTTAGGAGACACTAGCTCAGCCTGTTGATGGCTGTGCTGCATGTGGGGTGCAGAGAGTCCTGCGGTTTTCACCTGCTCCTGCTGTTTGGGATGAACAGTCTCCACAAACGCAGTGAGGCCATGGCTCGCCAGGACCATGGGTTAACCAACTGGAACAGTCCCCAAGGTGGCAAACTAATTAACTCTCCACCAGAAAACACAAACGCAGACTTAACGATGCCTTCCCAAGTGTCGTTAATTTTTACAATTTAATGTGCTGTGAGTTTTGAATTTGCTGCACATATCCAGATAGTCAGACAGACAGGCGCAGACGCACACTCAGGCAGTGCTGCCTTGGACATGGCCCCTCACTGTCCTACATGCGCTTTGAGTTCTGCCGTGAGCATCCTCAGCTTCATGTGCATGGCTGTATGCTGAGTGCTGAGCCTGAAAGGGTCAGTGCTGAGCCAGCAGGACTGCCGCCCGCCTCTGGCCCAGCCATTGCACCCTGGCCTTGGCACATCCTTCACCTCCTCCAAGCCAGCTTCCACCATCTATGAAGGGGCACAGGGATGGATCCTGCCTAGGCGACCTCCAGCTCAAATGTCGGGCTGGGACAATGGGCTTCATGAACAGCCCCATGTGGCCCAGTTGTTGTATCCAGAGCTGGCGCGCACACTGCTGCAGACCAGTGACTTTTTATACAGAAAGGTGATGGCGAATTTGAACTGTACTTTACTAATTTTTTGGCACAAACCTCCTCTGCCTTTATCTTGCTTCCTTTTTATTATTTCCAAATGTACCCTTCCCCCTTTGTCTTTTTTTTTCCCCTGAGAAATTAGGTCATATTGAAAGACAGCTCCAAGCACTATTGTTTTGCAATCTCTCAGCTTGACAAGAGAAGTTAATTCTCCATTTTCAAAATAACTCTCCATGTTTGCAGCTAGACTCTCTCCTCCCCCTCTCTTGTCCCATTTCTTCTTCCACTTTGGTTTCTCCTTGTGCAGGAGGCTGGTGGCTGGCTCCCTGGTGGAGGGCCGTGAGTCAGAACCAGTAGCTCTGGCACCATCTCAAAAGTGAGGGCCACGCCTGGAGGGGGCCAGGGTGGGGCCAGAGAGGCTCTCGCCCTGGGTGCGAAGTCTAAGAACACACCTAAAATCTCAATAGTCAGGCTAAGTCATGTTTTGATGCATCACTTAAAATTACTGAAATTAATACAAGAGATCTATGATGAACAGAACAGCACAATTATAGACAAGGAGAGGGCCAGTGGGGACAGATCTTTTCTCACTGTCCCAGACTCCAGTAACTACACAGTTACTGATTCTGTCATTAATTAAGTCTGTTATTCTGGTCACTGTGGATTTTGTACATCAGGTTGGATTTTTTTTTTTTCTTTTCTTTCTGGTGCTAGAATTGAACCCAGGGCCTCCTGCATGCTAGGCAGGCCCTCTACCACTGAGCTCCACCCCTAGCCCTGGATTTTTCTTTTTTTTTTTTTTTAATTATTTTTATTTATTCTTAAGTTTTAGGTGGACACAATAGCTTTATTTTACATTTATGTGGTGCTGAGGATCGAACCCAGTGCCTCGTGCATGCTAGGCAAGCCGTCTACCACTGAGCTACAACCCCAGCCCCTGGATTTTTCAAAAATATTTGTTCTCTCTCTGATTCCTAAGTTTTTTGGGTGCCCCTTTAAAATGTGTGCCCAGGGCAAATGCCCCTCAGCTCCCAGCCCTGCCTTTGGGCAGCCGCCCCCCGCCCCCAGCTGTGAGCCAAGTTGTCACAGGCTGGCTGAGGCAGCACAGCCCCATCTCCAGGTTTCGAATCTTGGGCAGCTACTGGGTCCCTCCTCCCCACCCAAACCCCTCTGGCCACCACACCACAGCCACTTGCCTTACAAGGAAGAGGGAGGCTTCTCTATGTTTTTTGTCAATTTATTATTTTTAGTAGACTTTGTTTGGTGAGCAGTTTTAAGCTTACAGAAGAGTAGCACCCGAGCTGCAGAGCTCCGAGCTCCCGCCTCTGCCCAGAGAGCAGCTTCCTCTGCTGCCCGCTCTTGTCCCAGCCTGTTAAAACTGACACATTGTTGCCACCTGAAGGCCACGGTGCTTGTCTGCTCCTTCTGTCATCTTGCCAAGTGCTTTGCACCATGTGCCTGGGTTCCAGCTTCTCGCCTGGATTTTATGTCCAGCACTAGGGGCAAAACAGCTTTTGAGGGTAGAGAAAGAGAAGACCTGAAAGTGTCGTCACAAACCCAACATCTAGGTAAGGCCAAGGAGGGAGTATTCAGACAGCCCTGACCAAGAATGAGCCACTCAAGGGACAGGGGTCGGAGGCTGGGGTAAGGCTGAGAATTGCTGCTGGCCCTGTTGAGGTGCCCACCATGCTGGACCCTCCACACCCGGACGGAGCTTCTGCCTGTGTCTACAGGGTATAGCAGCCCCAAAGTGGAGGAAAGGTGGCTGATGGCACGCTGGGAGCACTTGCCAGGGATAAGAGAGTCTGCACTGGAGAAGCATCTACCTGAGAGGA